ATATGAAACCTTTCAATGATCCAGAGTTTATTAAATCGTATTTATGAAATAAGACTTATGAAGAAAGTTCAGAAAATGTGTGGGAAATTTAATCTTGGGAGGAAAGAAAACCAAGGAGCCTTATCATGCATAATGTACCTGTTAATAGGGATGATTAGGAAAATCAAAGGGGACTCTGAAAGGATCCTTAAAAAATCGCCATGGAGATATTATTGTAAATGATATACAAACACTTTATTATTGAAATAGTGATCAACCCATATTTTACTTTGGTTGCTGTTATGCCTTCCCAATACTGACAATACGGTGATAAATAGTATTTCAAGGTAATCAAAGTGATACTGATTTAATTTCAGAATGAGCTGATAAAATTTAAAAGCACTATACGTTAGCAAATTTTCCAAAGGTAACTCTATCTACCTATCATATCTATCTATCTATCTAACCATTTATCATATATCTATCTTTCTATCATTCATAATATCCCAGAAAATGACATAGTACCTGGACCTTTAGATATCCAAATAAAATATTTTTAAAGAAAAGTTTATTTGCAATATTTTTAAAGTATTCATTTTTCATTTGTTGGTTGTTTGAAAAATATACATATATATGGCAAAATATTTCTTTTTGGGATAAGAATAAGTTTTTTAAAATAATGGTACGTACTCTGACCTTTACGCAACTGAATATAATTTGTATTCCGAGTACTGGGAAGGAATTTTGAAAAACTTTTATAGTGATTACAGTTGGGCAGTTCGTAATTCTCTTTTACATGAAATCTATTTTAGATCCTAATATTAACTTAAATTGTTATAATATTTTAAAATATTTACAAAAAGTTACAAAAAATTTATCCTTATGGTTTTTATACAATTATGAATTCAAAATTATAAATTAAATAAAAGCAAAATTACAACGTCGGTAAAATTCAAATTAAGATCTTTAACAGGATGGATGATGTTATTTGGCTGAAACTAAAACTACCATATCAAACTTCTATTTATTTCAACATGTATCATCTCTGATGACTTGGCTTTTCTACTGCTTTTCCATATCTCAAATACAATAAAACTTTCACTCAAATAATGCATGGTTATTTAGTGAGACTTCTGTATTTCATATGAAATCAATTTCTTTCCTTTTTGAATAGTGTTTAAAAATGAACTCGTACTACTTGGGACTAATGCTTTTGTTGGAACAAACACAAACATGGGTGCTGATGCCGTAGCACTTACTCACAAGGATTATGCGAGTCATAAAGATTACTTTTCTATGAATTTTTTTAGATTTTCACAAAATTGAAAAAGTCCTCTATAAATTTTAAAAGATAAGTTTCTATCATCAGATTTTTGTAGGAAATAAGTTTGAGAAACACTGTATTAGAATGATTGAATGATGTGTTGGTGAAACAATGTTAAACTGTGGTGTTTTTTGTTTTTGCTGTTTCTAATATTTTCTTAATGTCTTTTTT